CCCCCCTCCCCCAGGTAGCCCAATGAATTCTACCAGTGCCATTTTCAGTTTTGCCCCACCAAAACCCAGCTGTCTCCCTGCAAATTTCTTGACAAACTCCCACAGGCAATCTGAAAACTAACATAACATAAATTGGCAGAGCACTGAGAGTGGTTTTAATGGGAATTTCTTTGCCTGCCTCACTAATTATTTAAATATTTAAAATTGAGAGTTATTCCATCATTGGGGCATCACCAAAACACACTGTCAGAATCACTTTCAAGAATTAAATAAAGAATAACATAATAAAAAAGATAAATTGTGCAACTAACTAAGAACGGGGTCAGATTAATTGAGTAAAGATTGTTTGGATAACTGATCCATTGCTCTATAGATTTCTGGATGAAAATTGAATTTTAGTTCTTCATTAAAAAAATGGAAAAGAAAAACACAAAAAAGTTGAAAACATTAAACATCAGAGGCAAAAGTCTTTTCGTTTCCTAACTTCTATTATTTTTATTTTTCTCTTGCAAACAAGTCCTTAATACTTATTAAATTTATAAACTCAAGGCCTTCATTTCAAAAACCGTAACACTCCATCTCCCCCTTCCAGTCATCCCCCCACCGCCGACCTCCGTCCCCGAGGCTCGACGCAATCTCTGGCTGCATACTTCACGTCCACCGTAACAGAGTTTAGACAACCACGATTCCATCGTCGTCGATGCCGCCGGAGCCTTTTAGCCCCGCCGCATCCGCCTAAGACCCCTGCTCAATAGTCGTCGCTGCCTTCTGTAACACCACACTTTGATTTTTAAAAAAATTTCGGACTTTCAGAAAAATCAATAGAATTTTCAAAATTCAATATAAACATTGGTTGCGTTATTCATTTAAACCCCAAAGCAATATCACATATAATAGTCATCATCATGACATTCATCATAAGCCAATACCCTAACCAGGGTTTTCATCCAACATCAACCATTACCCAAATCGGGTTTTCCAACTTTTGTCACCGAGTCAAAGGGGCATCTCCCCATAATTGTTTTAAGTCATAAGTTCTAAAATTCATAAATCCCGAGTTCATAAATACGTTCAAAATAGCGGGAGCAACAAATAAATAATCTGGTCATAAAGACCGACCACCACTCGCTCCACTCCATCGTGCCCGCACATACTTAACCTGCATCCATAAAGAAGTAGGTGGAGGTGAGCACAAATGGAATCCGTGGTGCTCACCACTATACAATAAACATTAATCATAAGATAAAACAGTGATCTTAAGATAAGTCAGGTATGGTTGCAGCATGTATATGAATCAATCAACTATCCCATCTCCTATTACAGAGTATAAACTCGTGTGCACACCTAACCATAGACTACTGAATGGCCTTACAACGAATGCCCCTCAATGTGGCCTAACATCGAATCCCATACTAGTAGGAGTATCTGCCGAATGCCCCTCAATGTGGCCTTACAACAACATCATACCGAATGCCCCTCAATGCGACCTTACAACAGTATGAAGAGACTGCCTATATAAGACACAATGTTGCACCCGTTCGAATATGTGAATATATGTGAATTTATGTGAATTATGTGGGATTACTATTTTATTTGTGTTCCATTAATATTAGCCATCGTCATTATGTTATTTGAGAATAATGTAATGTTAAATAATTTCGTTCGATTTAATTTTATTAAGTCGTTCGGAAATTCGGTTTAAATGTTAAACCGAAATAAGCTCAAATTTTTATTTTTTAACCCGAAACCTGGCCCAAATAGCTTGCAATTTCGGCCCAATAATTAGGCCCTAATTTTTCTTTTATGTTAATTAAACCCTACATGTTAAATAGGAGAGATCACCCCTAGCTCGTCACTTAAACCTGCAGCCACTCTCCATCGATCTCTCTCACGCACAAGCTCTCCCCTCTCTCTCTCTCGGTACCCTGATAGCGATTTGCAGAAAAAAAAAATATTAAAAAAATTATCTATACCTGCTGCTCGTCATCGACCCTCCGTCATCATCTTCAGCATCTGATCGCCACCATCATCTGCTCGTGTTCCAGTCGCATCCCGGTAGGCCATCATCGCACGTCACCATCAGTCCCAAAGAGTCTCTTTTTCCCGGCGAACCCTGCTCCATCGCCGCCCCTCGCGTGAGCCTGTTGCTTCTGCCGTACTCTGTCGTGACCAGTTGCTGCCACCGTGAGTAGCCTCCAGCGGCTAAGCTCTCGAGACCAGCATCAAACTACCAACCCTCGGCCACCGTCCAACACCCCAACGAGCCGCGCAGATCACCGTAGTTGAACCTCCATCGCAAGCCCCAACGAGTTCCTGCTATCCCCGACATACGCCACCGCGATCTACAACTAGTCACACATGTTCACCTAGAAGCAGCCACCAAGCCTTCTTTTCTCGTTCTTTTCTGAGCTTATCCCGAGAACGGTATTCTTTCGAGCCCGGGCTGAATTTATTTGTTACTCATTATTATCAAATCAAAATATGTGGTAATTCAAGTGAAAACCATAAGATTTTATTGTTCTACCCTGCTTAATAAGATCGAGTTGGATCTCGGACAACGTGTTTTCGATATATAAAATGTTTAAGTCTTAAAGTAGTGATATTGAGGCTTGCTTAACGTGTAAATTATGTGGTTTCGAGGCTATGTTGTTGTTCGAACATTTTGAGTTGCTAAAAGCATGATCTCCCAAATTTCGAGCCTCAGTTGTGCTCTGTTTTCGTCGACCAAGAAGTTGTTTCTTAGATAAGTGTTCTTCTTGAGTTTTGTAGTTAGGTTTCAGTGAGATTTGGAATCCTGTGATTTGGATTTGAAATAAATTTTATATGAATTTTCAAAGGCAGACAAGCATGCAAATTTTTATAAACATGGAAAGAAGATTTTGACCTTACTTCATAGCTGTTTTTGATGATCTTAACGTGCCTGAATGAAAATGTATTTTTCATGATAAATGTAGTATATGTTGTAAGCTGCCCGTGAGAGTTGGAATCATGCAATTTGGAGTTGATTTGAATTTGTTATGAATTTTTGAAGTTGAGCACGCATGTTGTTTTCATAAATCCGGGCAGGTTTGGTGATTATGATGTTAGGCTGATTTGATGATCCTAACGTTGCTATATGAAAATGTGATCTTCATGAAACATGTACATGTTATAAGCTTTCATTAGGAGTCGAAATCTTGCAATTTGGAGTGTTGGTTGATTTTATATGATTTTTCTAAGTGGGATGTACACCCAGTTTTTATAAAACCAGGGCTGTGTTTAAGTGTTGAATGTGTGCTTTGTTTTGATGACCCGAACGTGTTCGTATAAAAAAGTTCTCTTCATAACAATTGTATATTTCCATGTGTAGATTCTGTAGGTTTTGAGTTTGTATGAATTGGAGTTTTGTAGCTTGAGTCGTTGCCATTTTACTAAGGTGTTGTATATTCAAAAAGTTGTTCTCTGGCAAATTTCTTGACCTAAGTGTTTTATGCTTAAACTCGATTTTAAAGTTACTGTTGGCTTAAGTGATCTACATGAAAGTTGTGGATATATATGTTAGATACTCATTGGTTTTGGAATTACCTGAATAGCATGCTTGTAGCTCCTGCTAGCTTGGAAAAACTGAGGAACTGTCAAGCTGTATGTCTTCATTTAGCCATTGCACCTATGTTTTGGATGTTTGCTGAATTATGTGCATGTAAATGGTTTTATTTGCTTGAGTGTTCTTCATGAAAGTGATAGAGGCATGAGTTAGGGATATTTTTCAAGTAGTTTCATCGTGATATGATTTGTAGACTAAAAGCTACATGCATTTTAAATTCATCGGCCATTGCGCATGCTGAAAATCGTTCCAAGTTCATGTTTAGGTTTCTAAATTGAGTTGTATTGTTTAAAAGCATGTTTATGTGGAATAACTGAACCATGTCATGCTATGTGATGTTTATATGATCCTTTGGTGTCCTAAGTGTTAAAAGTTAAGCAAGCCAAGATATCCACCAACCGAAAAGACTTATACATGAAACGTTCTCAAAGCAAGGCGAGCAAGGCAAAGCCAAGCGAGATAGTTTCCAAAGATTATATATATGTATAAGACTTGTGAGTTTAAGTTAAGCCTTGATAAGATTCTAAA